GCACTGCACCCTAGTCTCTTCATGATGTGGCCCTTGTCTACCTCTTGGATATCATCATCCAGAATGTTCCACCACGCTCCCTGTGTTCCAGCTGCACCAAATGACTTGCTGGTCCTTACCTCTTGATCTAGTGCTTCACCCCCTCTCACATCATTGCCATCACCCCGACTTCCTCACTATTCCTGTGACCCAGCAGGCTGCATACTCGATTGAGGCCTTTGCTCTGTCTGGGACCCTTTTCACCCAAGTATTTGTGTGGYGAATTCCATTTCTTTCTTTCAGGACTGCTCAAATGTCACCTCCGCAATGAGGTTTGCCCTGGCTGCTCTAATTAAATTTTCATTAATTACTGGTGCCATCCCTGTCACTCCAGATCCTCCYGACCTCCTCATTTCCTGTTCATATCACCTTTGAACAGGCTGTGTATTGTACCTGTTAACTTCATTTGCTTATTTTCTATGCCCCAATCCTCCATTCTCACCCTTACCTTTGGAATCTGAGTCAGCAGGGGAGGGATCTTTATCTCATTAAGTTCATTGTTGTACCCAAGACCTAAAACAGTGCCTGACAAATAGGAGGTACCCATACGTTTTTTGTGGAATATTGAATTGTAAGTGTATGTGTCATTTTACATCCTTATGCCCTATGTCTGAAATAACATGRTGTATCCTATTCACCCTCATCTACACTGACACTTTCTGACTTCAAACATTTCTTGTTTACCTATCAATCTCCTCTATTTGTTGAGTTGGATGTTACCTTTATGTRCCTCTTTCCTTTTAAGACCAAAAACTAAAAGATACTTTATAAGTGTTTGTTAAACTCACCTGGCCTGACTAATGTATTCCAATAAAAAATCAGCAGGGGAAAAAAAAAAAAAACCTAATAGGTCTTTCTTCCAGAGAGTTCAAAAGATAGTCATATATTCACCTAAACACATAGACCAGGTACAAACCCACCATAGTTAAACAGAAGARCTAATTTCAGAGCCATAGATACCTTTGTTCCATTAACCCTTTTGCTGAAATTGGGAAGTACTATTGTTCAGTTTGGATAAGCATTTGTTAGAGAATGAAATTTTCAAACTATTTTACCAGGATTTCAGAAAATACAATTTGGTATTGAAATAGCTGGTCTCAGACCAGATGGTTAGTGCATTCAGATTTTTAGAAGTGGGGATGATTTCTGACTAAAAATAAATTAGGGGAAAGAGAGAATAGAATCATCATTACTTGGTTACTTACTTGTATGAAGGATATTGTGACAGAAATTGCACATTTTATCCTTACAGCAAACTYGTAAGGCATAATGTACATTTTCCAAGTAGGTAAACTGAGGTTCACTGAACTAACATTTCCAAAGTCATCCAGCAAGCAAGTGGCATGGCTGGGATTGGATACAAATCCCTTATGACATTTTATTTTGACATGTTGGGATCAAACACGTGGCCTTCCTCATGCTAGAACAGCAACTCTGCCGCTGAGCTACAAACCAAATCCCTGATGGCCACAAATCCCAAGCCCTTCACCCAGGACTGTGTTGTCTKTCCTCCTTCCCTGTGATTGTTTCATTTCTAGACTCATCTTCCGATGCATTATGCATTCATACCTCTACTTTATTATCTTTTGTGTGTTTAGGGTCTTCTGACCCTAAGCCAAATCTGGCATGATTTTCTGCAGCACACTCATTCTTTTAAAGTTCAGACTCTATGTTAATATAGAACTTAATACAATTTAGTGCAGCTGTGTGAATGCCACAAGGTGTCACACAGAAGCCAACCATGGGTTGACTTTGCAATGGTGACTCTTTCAGTGACCTACCTGAAAAGTTCCACCCATAATTTTCAGTGTGGGCCGATTGGCTGGTACTGGGCATTGATTATGAAGGGCAGTTCAGTAATCCTGGATCTGAATTTATGCATTTCCTGATCAATAACTTCTAATTGTCTTAGATAAAACATAACATTCAAAAAAAAAAACCTCAAAAAATAAAACATGAAAAACAAGGTAGAGGGCATCCATGGGAGCAGGAGGGGTAAAGCAAAAGTGGAACGTATAACTTGTGAACAGCCAGAGCTTATGCTATGCCATGCCTTGGGACTAAACAAAGAACAATCTGGTTAGAAGCAAAGAAAGGACAAATTCTGTCACCATTTATGGAGGACAGTTATGGAACTGCGCACTTGCTAAGATAGTCAGAAGTCTATCCCACAGAAAACCCATACCCCATTCTATTAATGGGCATTGCTCCATGACCAACAAGTTGAAGGGCAAAGGAGTGAAGGGCTGTTGTGGAACAGCAGACCACATTTGAAGAATGATTACTTGAACCACTGAATTAATTTCAATCAGCAAAAGCATCTGGGAAGACATTTAGTAATCCAGAGCCTTGGCTGAGTCGGAATGTAAAGATGGCAATCACCTAGCCTCCAAGGTCAAAAGTGAAAAATGTTTGCTCAGGTGAAGGCTGGGGATGTTTCCAGAATCTTCATCTCTGGAGCCTGCTGGGTACTCCAAGGATAAGGGTGAACACAACTCAGTCTATAAAGAGAACAATCAATCTGTTGATCTACTGGATACTGCAGATGGTCTCTGGTTTGACATCCTGTCATTGTTCTCTGTGACCAGTGAACTTTGGAATAAAATGTTCATCCAATTTTACGGCTAGGAGAGGCCTAAGAGATTTATCTAATCCACCTCCTCAATGTACTGATGAAACTTCTGAGACATAGATAGATATAGGGAGTTCAATTTTTCAACTCTTTTTTAGAACAATGAAGTACAAGCACAGGAAACATTCTGGATTGTTCAGGATAGTGCTGAATCTGCATAACCTGCCTAGCCGTACCCATGAATATACCTGTATCCACAGGAACATGTGTTCCTATGTGGGATTTGGAAAAATACGATCACCTTATGGCTCAGGAAATGATGTTCCAAAAAATGAAATGTTCAAGAAATCTGCTTTTACTTTTGCATCGGTGCTAAGGTACACAAGCTGGTGAAGGAGGAGAATAGAAACATGTTCTGCTCCTTTTCTTTTTTAAGCTTTTGTGAAAATATGTGTTTTGAAGAAGAGACTAAGTATATGGAGGTCCCACTTAAGCCAATATTGTAACAATAAGAAGAATTGCAGATAGTGAAGAGGGAAAAGTGGTACATGAACAAGGAACCTGTGCATCAGAATTTAGCAGGTCACAGAATTTTCATGAATAGAACAACCCAAGAAGGCTCTTTGAGGGAGTGGGGGATATAACTCGGTGGTAGAATGCTTACCTAGTATGTGCAAAGCCCTGGCTTCAATCCCCAGTACTGCAATAATAATAATAATAATAATAATGCTTTCTGAAAAATTATATTAAGTCTATGCAGCTAAACTGATGAATGTTTGGGGTGGGATCTCAATGTAAGAGATGCTGGAAGGAAGAAGAGAACACAAGGAAGGAGATTGCTGGAGAGCTGCAGCACCAAACATCTAGGACCCCAAGGAAGAATAAATGTGTAGAGCAAGCTGCTGAGTGCCATCTCTTTCCTCCTAGAATGTCCTCTTCTAGACCAGAGTAGGAGAACCTTCCCCTAAGGTCAGATTCCCGTGGAGTTAATAAGAAAGAGGCGAAAAAGATGTAAGGAGACCTCAGGAGACCTCYGTGTAAAGGAAGTGAAATTGACCTGCACCTTTCAAGAGAGTAGAATAGTGATCCTTTGTATTAGGCATAGGTCTTTGTTTACACTAAAAATAGAAGCATGCAAACTGAAGTGCAGGCAGGTTGCCTTTCTCCTTCCTTATTCCTCCTTTCCTTCATTAGTACTGACCTATGCAAACATCCTGATCTCAAAAGGACATTAAATATTGGTTTGATAGAGTCTTAACAACCAGGAACAACTCAGAAGTGTTTACAAAGGGTGGCTGAGAAAGTTCTAAATCTAAAAGCATTGTAAGTACTCCTCGCTTAAAGAAAAAAATAACCAGAACCTCTACTCACTTCCTAAGCTAAATAATAAAACATAACTTGATCCTAAAATTTAAACAATGGTTTGAAGACATTTCTTCGAGTTATTCTTTAAATCATAAACACCACAAGAGATAAGAGTCTGATGCTAGTTAAGGAAAGATCTTTTTGTTTAAGCATTCCCTTCTTTGCCTGTGTACACAAATAAAACAGGGTGTGTGTCAGTAGAACTTGTTTAGATACTGAGCTTTCTCAGCACTTAAATTTTGTGCCCTGGGAATGAGTACCTTTCAGTCACTGAGCTGTTAACTCTTGTCATGTGTGTCTTGTGCTTCTTTTTCAAGCGAATGTTACCTCCTCCATTTTACTAAAAGCCACAGGAACTGASGTTATGTCACTAAAGGAGCCTAGAGGAGTCTGAAGCTGGAGAGCTAACAAATCTGACTTTGTACTTTCAGTTATTGTCATGATTGTCACTTGTCCCCATCCCCATATTCCTCTTCTGAAGGCTGCTGAGCTTGTGGCATTTGGTTCCTCTTTCTTTTGTATTTCTCTTTCCCATTAGAGGCTCAATGTGAGGGCAGGGAAACTTTGGCTCTTTTGACTATGTGTGGGTGTGTTATGTTGAGTGTGAACTAAATGATAGGGTTTTTTTTGTTTTTTTGTTTTTGACATGTGCTTGTTTCATGTTTCTCCCCACAATGGCTAAATTATTAGCTACTTGAAAAGCAATCCGTGTACTTACCTTCAAAATCCAAATATGTAGTAAAATGCTCACTGAAAAGCAAGAAATAAATGGATTGCTTTAAAAAAAATGAATGAATGAATAGGATGTGTGTGTGTGTGTGTGTGTGTGTGTGTGTGTGTGTGTCTGAACCTGCTCAGAAGCTCTAGTTCCAGCAGATCCTAGAAAATGGTGTTCCGTGTTGACAAACCATTTGATTCGGAAGCTAGTCTGTTTATAAAATTTAACAAATACTTACAGTTGTATATTTGGGGCTCTAAGTATTCAGTATGCTTTATGTCAGTCTTTTCTTTCTGMTCCCTCCAGGACAGAACATTATTCCATTCTGTGAGCAACAGCTGCATGGATTGCAACCCTGCGGAGAAGAAGATTTTCATGGCCAGATGTGACCCTCTGTCTGAGACTCAGCAGTGGATTTTTGAACACGTTAATATGACTGTTTTAGAAAAATTTAGCCACCATGCCAGCTCCTAGGAAGAAAGAAGGAATGATTACCTGCAGATTGTGAACTAAATTTTAGCCAGCATCTGGGTCAAAGGAGTCAGGAATAACATTTCCTAGATCCAGGCAGCCTGGTTTAAAGATTTGTAAATGCCATGTCAAAGTAGGTTGTCCTGAGGAACTTCCTGCATCTGAAGAACTTGGCTGAGAACCTCACCAGCTGCTTCTGAGAACTCGAGACTAGCAAGCAGTTCCCTTGCTGGCCAAGGGTGAAGATATTTAGGGACTTTTCGAAACAACTGCTGAGTTAATAAATCCTAGCATTTCTCAGGTCAAATCCTGCAGTAGTGAGTAGCTATGAATGGATCCTATTAATCGGGTGGGAGGGGGGCGGAAATGGAGTGCATGACTGCTCTGACAACCTGAGGCTACCACAGGTTTAGAACTAGCCACACTTAAGGGGTGAGCGGTACTCTTTGGTGCCATTCTCTAACTAAGAATGGGTTAAGCAGGTTTAACCCTTAAAAGTGCTGCAGATGATTTTAGAGTGCTCATACCATTCTGTTTCCTTTTGTTTTATTTTTAAACATGGGTGCAATATTTAATAGGACTTAAAAATCACATAATGAAATGGACTTCCAGTGTTCCCATGTTTTCATTTACACTTGCCATTTTCCTTGTAGAGCAGAAGTTACTTATTGTTCATAAAAGTTCATGCTCCATAAATCAGCTGAAGTTCTACTCAGTGCCCTTGTTATGAATCCAGTTAAGAACAACAACAACAACAAATAAAACTATGCTACCAAGTTACTCCAAAGAAAGATTTCACAGAAGCAGCAAACCATAAAAAAAAGATTAAGGAGATTTCTCTAGGAAATCTATTTTTACTTTTCTATTATTTTTAGAATTTTTAAAGTCTGATGTTTGTCCAGTCATACTTTTTATTAAGGAAGGAAAATGGAGTGAGGTTGATGTAATTTGTTTAGGAGATTCTTAAACCCAAATAAATCTACACTCCACGTGACATGTAAAAATGGCTTGGTTTACTTCAATCCTATTTAATCAGTGCTGGGAACTTAGAGTGGTTTTATTTCGTTATTTTGGTGGGGATTTTTTATTTGTTTGTTTGTTTGCTTTATATTGTTGATATTAATGATGTTGCTGTTTTATTTGGAAGCCCATAAAAGGAGTTACCATTAATAAAGTGCTTCTGACACCATTTTCTGTTAATGGGACAATATTTCAGAGGTCAAGCAAGTATTAATTCAAAAACTGAAGTGTAATATTTAATTCTTAAAAGAATGATTTACTTTTAAATAATCATGGGTTTGGAGTAGAATATACAGGTATCAAAATGGGTCTATAGAGGTTAGAATCACATTTTTTACCCAATTTTCAAGTTTCGTCAGGTACAAGAATGTTTTTACATTGCTTTTGTTATTTTTCTTTTAACTTGTCTTTTTCTGTTCACACACACACACACACACACACACATATATATATATATATATATATATATATATATATATATTGTCTTAGATATGGACCACTGAATTTTAGAACTAGGAAGACTCCTGAAATCCAATCCCTTTGTTATTTTTAGATTAATAACAAAAGCCCAGAGAGGCCCAACTCCTGGAAGGGCTGACAGGTCTTCTGACCTTTATTCCTGTGTATTTGTCTCCTGTGCTGTGCTCTCTCACTCTGGGGCTCAAGGTGATTCTGATTATATCTCCAATTTAACTGGAAATTTTTGGTAACTAGATTAGAATCCTATGCTTCCCTGGGGATGTCCACAAAAATAGCCTTCATCTTTCAAAACCACCTTCTTATAAATATTCAATGATTTTGTTCTCTCCTCAAAACCTAATCAAAATGTCCACTTAAACTTCTCTGCTAACAGCTGAGGAAGAGTTATTTCATTATCTTCGCTGAATTTTCAAGCATTCTTTTGAAGAGCTTCTTTTTAAACCAACTGTCACAGAGATATTTTGTATAGGTCAAGAGATCTTGAAGCATTCGAGATGCATAGAGGAGAAAATCAATAGTGAGAAATTAACCTGGGTGTTGAATACTTCTAAAGAGTGAGTGAAGATTCATCTCAAGTGTTCAGAGAGCAGTCTGGCTGTAGAATTTGAGGAGTCTATAAAAATTCACATTATGTCATTAAACAGTTGACTGGTATTTACAGTTGTACCAAAGAGACAACCTGGGGTTCTGTACACTGGGAAGCCCAGCTGTGCAATGATCTCTTAGGATGCTGTCATCATGTCTTTCATTAACTGGGCACTGTCCTTTGAGAAAACCAGAATATTGTATCATCTTAGTGTGGCACACAGGGATCAACAAAGATTGGTCTACTCTCTGAGTAAAAGAACGTCATCTAAGAAATGAACAACCTGTTTAAATGAAGGCAAGCTTGAGACGTTAAATTCAAAATTGGGACTTCAAATTGTCAAGCAATCATTAAATATGTACACATGGGGAACATACATATAGAGTAAAATAAAACCTAGAGAATCTGCACATAAGCAAAAGGGCATAGTACAGCCAATAAGCACATTTAAGGAGGCATTTCTGATGCCACTGAAGGCTAAGACTCTACTCGCTTAAGACATCACTACTACCATTCTTAAAAGTATAAAAATACATGCTTGCATTTTTTTATTGGCACAAGAGACCGAACAGTCCTCAGAAACACTTTCATTTCTGCAAATGACATGTTTTGAAAATTGTACAGTAAAGTACACACCTACCCTATTATCAGAATGGGAAGAAAAACATCAAGTTAATCTGACCACAGAAACTTCTACTTCTCCATAATAAAATATACTTTTGCCAGAAGCTAGAAAATACTTAATTTTTTAAGTCCTTCTTATGTATTTACAGAGAAAATGCTATGCTGTAAAACAATTGTGAACTGTTTGTGGGATTTATACTTTTTCCAGGGCTGAAATAATAATACCATGGCAATAATAATGTATTGGCTTCTATGTCTACTGTTATTTACTTAGAAATACTAATATGCTCACAAGACTGTTTTTAAATGTATTCGCCATATTAGAAGCCTCAGTGAGTAATGCAAGTTCCAGGATTATTTTGTGAATTGATAACATAGAACTTTCTACAATAAATGAATAACACATAATGCAAATGAACTTGCAGTCAATGAAAAAAAAAGTGTTAGGTCATTCTTTCCATGTTTCTTTCAAAACATGAAACTAAAAAAAAAAACAAAAACAAAAACATGAAACTAATGCCAATACTCGACACCATTTTCTTCAGGGCAATTAAGTAAGCAAATATCTACTTTATGCTGCTTGCTTTCAGGTGAAAACTTCTGTTTCAATTTTTTAATAGCTATCTCCATAAAGAAAGAGCAAAAAGGCATCTTTTATTAGAAAGACCAGCATTATGAGGTCTATGGCAGACCCTTCAAAAKGACAATGATGCTCTGATTACAGAACTGGTTGTCAGCAGTCATAGAAGGCCACACCTATCGCTGGATGACATTCCCATGGCCTAGGACTTCACACACCTGTGACTCATAAGAGCGTTGATGGCAAGGCCACTCCAGATCTGCTTTTAGCTTTCTCTCTTTCAATATTACAGAATCTCCCAGGGGTAGGTGATTTCCCCATCCCTCCCCTGGGGAGGAGTGCTAAGTTATATATTTCCAGAATTTAAAGCTATCCTAACAATATGACATTGTGAATTTTGATGTTTTATCCCTAGAGACCCACTTAATAAAATTTCTTTAGGCCTTTTTACACCAGCAGGAATCTAAGGGTATAATATAATTACAGAAACAGGAACTGGAAGGAAGGAAGGCATTTTATAAAAATCACGAGAAGGAACACCTCAAAGGGACATTTTCAAGTGTTTCCGTCCAAACCTGGGAGTAAATATGAATGAAGGGGGTAAACTGGGTCTCTAATTGTGGGTGTGTATAAACTTCTCCATTCACCTCATCCACAAACTCTACCCTTGCCATCATTTCTCTCAGATGACACCACTAGCTGTAATGACTCTCCATGTGTGAAACTGTAGCTAAGAACACTGAAGCGTGACAAGTGGCCAGTCCTTCCCACAAGGCCGACATTGGATGATTGCTCTTTGATTTATGTCTACAGCCTTTGCTTGCAGAACTGGGAGCTGTTTGCAACTCTATTTGGTACACTCGACTTTGGCCTGAAGCTTTTATTCACAGTCACTCATCTCTGCACTTGACAGACCAGACTGGTGTGTCTGGTACCGCAGCCTCTCAACCACAGCAGTTCAGGCACATGTTTGATACCTCACTTCAGAGAAACCTGGAAACCTTTCTTGCAGCTCCTGCATTAAGCTGTCCCTTCAGCTCATTGCACAATAGCTTCCTGGGGTTTCCACAGTCCTCCACTCTCTGCATCTCCTCAGTGCCACAGAGTGAAACTACAGAGTGGCCAAGTTTCTGAATCTTAGTGTTCATGATTTTATTCTGACATCATTCGCTTGGGAGTGGGAGTTCTTTATAACAAAGTGGCATCTATCTTGGTTACCCAAAACAGTCTTGGTTTGTGCCTGTTGTTCTGTGTAATTATTAACAGTGCCCCCCTTTTACTCTGGAGTGTCCTGAYTTGGATAACGAGTTACATGTTCTCCCTACGTGTAATCTGCCTGAGTGTTTGCTTCATGATTTTTCTATGGAAAGTTAGAACATCCGTTGTGTGTTTGTGCCTATAGGGAATCAGCTTAGACTCACCCTTTCCTTTCAAACAGGATCAAACTAAAACCAGTTTATTGATGACTCTATTGCATTCACATAGTTCTTTACTAGTTGCTTCATGGAGTTTGTTTAAATGGGAAGTTCTTATATACAACCAAATMTTTTTGCTGAGTTAAGACAATTCTAATTTAAATGGATTCTTTTTCATATTTTAAAAAATTTACTCCTGGGGCTGGGGCTAGTGCTCAGTGGTAGAGTGCTTGCCTAGCATGTGTGAAGCACTGGATTCGATTCTCAGCACCACATATAAGTAAGTAAAATAAAGGTCCATTGACAACTAAAAAATATTTTTTAAAAAAATTTACTCTTGTCTCGTCCACGTCCTGCGKGGGGTGTTAAGTTAGAGTTCCTCTGAGTGGAGTGAACTGGCTGTGAAATTAAGCTAAGAAAAAGAAATGGCAAAGAAATCACACAACATGGAAGTAATTTTGAAAATCGGGGACAGGATGGCTCTAGAACCTTAGTGGCTGAGCTTCCACACTGGGAAGAGAGAGAGCAAGCGCAAGTGAGCAAGCCACATTTGGTTTATTATACAAGGGAACCTCAAAGGTTTCCTACAGATGTTCCTGGACAAATAAGGCAGGAGGTGGGCTGTCCAAACCCAATGGGTTACGCCCAATTCTGGAACTATGAGAGCTGTCCCATAGGTAGATCAAGGACAGAGATCTCACGCCTTGGACAGTCTCCACACAGGAATGCCTAAGTCCCCTATGGCTCAAGACCAAGTAAAAGACCACTCAAGTAGCTTCACTGGTGGCGCACCACACTCCTTTCTCAAAATAAAAAATAAAAAGGACTGGGGATGTGACTTCGTGATTAAACACCCTTGGGTCCAATCCTTGCTACCAAAAAATTTAAAATTTTTTTTTTACATTTTACTTGAAATCTATTAAGTCATTTATTTTGTACTTCCCAAGCTATAAACAGTAGATCTTCAACCTGGATTAATAAACCCATTATTAATTCTAAATATTAAGATAAGATATATTTTCTAATTCATTATTGCTTTTGTGTTTCAAAGGAATACTATATTTATCACCTCATTCTGGCTTATAACTACCTCTATCTTAGATAATATTACTATCCTTATGAAGGAGTGGAGAGTCTCAGATTGAGGGGTGGAGGGTGGAAGGTCAAGGTCACATAGCAAGTTAGCAGAGTTGCCACTAAAATTCAGGCCTTCTGGTACTTAGTTCTGTGCTCCTTCCTTTCTCCATGGTACTTCATACCTCACTACAGTGTCATTTATCCATAGCAAAATCAAATATGAAGTGTATTGAGTTATTTCAAATTAGCATGATCACTTATTCCTTCAACACTTCTGTTTTTAASCCCTTAATTATGTTTGTTCTCTGCATCTGTGTTTTTGTTGGTTTTCCCACAAGCTTATTAAAGTAAGAACACCAAACTGAATCCAGGATTAATCCCTCTTAATGAGATTTCCATGGTACTTTTAAGAAAAGAAGTGATCAACGAAAGCTATTTGTATAGCTGTAGATGATGATAAATCCTAAAGCAAACACTRTGTGCTGTGTGATTGTTAATGAGTTCAGTCCTCAGGGATAAAAACAGCCACTAAAGAAAGATTTTGCATTTACTTTGCAGTAAGCCTCCAAATTGACCTTCTTTCCATATTCTTATTTCAGAAAAGTTTTGTCAGGTACATCTCTTAGACATTTGAGACTGTGTGCATTCAATGTGAG